TCGACAACCTTTGTCTGCGCAACAACGGCCGCGTATGGTGGGAGCATCGCGTGAATAACGATGAAGTCAGACGACGGGTGCTAGGGCCAGATAGTTTTCCTTTGAGCAAAATAATTTCACAGCATTGTCTTAGTTGGCTAGGGCACGTCCTACGAATACCTGAGCGCCGTCTGCCACACCGTGCACTATTCGCAGACATCGGTCCAGGCTTGACGAAACAGCGAGGTGGGCAGGTTATGACGTGGCGCAGAGGGTTAAAGAGATTCTGCTCGGATCTGGCTTCCGTTGGGGTTTCTTGGCTCCCCGGCTGGGGCCCCAAAGATTCAGATTGTCTTTGGCTGGAAACACTGCGGGATATGGCATCGAACCGAAGTCAGTGGTACGAATTTATCCTCTCCTGTTTTCAATCCCAAAAATAAACAAAAACGAAAATAGCTCAAAATGGCGTGCAGCAAACAAAAACAAACTAAAAAATGTTACTCCCTGAAGTGGACTGTCTTATTTCCCCTGCTTTTAAACCTCTGTTTTCCGTTCACCCATGGTTATTTTAGCGCCGTATCTGTAAAGATTGGGGTTATATATATATATATATATATATATATATATATATCATACGATGATATATATATATATATTTGGCATACGTCTGATGCCAGATTGTGTGCCAAATAAATAACGATACACTAGTTTTTATAACAAAAGGAAAACTTTGCAAGATTTGCATATGGGCTAAATATTACCAGGTTGCCCAGGTCAAGGCGTGTGAGTTTTTCGAGGAATTCACAACCGGAGCCTTTGGCTAACCAATGCCTGACCCGCAAGGCAGCGGGGCGGTGTGAAAACTGCAATCCATTGGAGGCTGGTGTCCAGTACACCGGATCAAACACCCTTGCGACAGGGTCAAACGTCCGAGGTGCCCAATATACCTCGATATCCAATGGGGTCGGTGTGATTCGTACGGCACTTCGTGGTTGGTTTGGAATCAGGGTTTTTAGGCAACTCCCCTAGGTGAAATGCCAGTGATTCACCGACCCGGATGTCAGATTTTCGTCCTCTCAGTTTAGTGGGAAAACACCTCCGCCACGGGAAGGCGGTAGTGAGTGGGGGGCTTCCGCCGCAGCGATTATTCTGGACTCTTGGTTACATAAGAGCATTTCGTGAAACGTGAACATTATCGGGGTCAAGTGAAATTAGAAAAAATGGTTTTGCACGCACTCGGATATGCGCTTAACTTAAGAGTTATTCCCTTAATTTGGAAATTAGTGATAATTGATTATTTTTGTGTACTAACTTTTTTACCATTCTCTTTGTTTTGGTTTTTAGCTGATTTCAAGTGACCGAGTCAGTGAATTCAGTTTGTAAACGTCACTCACATCGAATTTTATGGAACTTTACCATAGGATTATTACGGTTTTGAATTCAGATCGGTGACTTTGCAGGCATTCCGTTGGGCACAATTGCGTTTATACGAAATTCCTCATGGTTGAAAACAGCTCTTCAGATCCGCCTCCTACCACCATTTACCCTGGTGGACTGGGCCTCTTCGGACAGCTTGTTATTGGGCCTCCAGGGAGTGGAAAGACCACATATTGCAATGCTATGGCAGAATTTCTAACCAATCTGGGTGAGTCTGTACGTTGAAACATGCACATTTCACTGCCGGACAGTCTTGTCAACCAGCCATTCCCCCTTGTTCCAATATGTCGCAACATCGCTAGTGGCTTTTTCGCAAAAATCCTCTATTTGGTTTACAGACTCGTGCCAATTTATTATGTTTGGTCAAATAAGCCACAGCGTACTGAAACATTTTTGTGCAATGAACTACGACGCTTGGCGTATATCCGTGAAGTAATTTTCAGTGTAGTTCACTGCACAGTATTAATGAAGAGCAATAAATAGCTGTTCCTACCTGTTTGTGGCTCGCCAGCAGTTCATACTGGTTCCCCCTGCCGGGATTCCAACCTCGAATAGATAATCGTGCAGGAACGAAAGATCTACTGTTTTTTATACTTTTTCATTGTTATTTCCTTTTATTAAGTTAACAAAGATGCAATTTTCAGGAAGGGGGAAGCGGCCAATCAAAGGGTTGCCATTGGACACAATGGCCAAAGTCAAGAGGTGTTAGTGGGATGTGAACACACGTCCTCCCGGGGTGATCGTTTGATGGCCTTCCCACTGGGCCACCACTGCCCGGGTGGAACGAAATTTGTTTCACCTCGCGACATCCAGATAGGTTGTAACAATTCGACTGAAGAGGTGGGAATGTACAGATTTATAGTTGGGGCAATTTTTGCCCTATTTATATGATTTCAGTGCGACTCCCTTTTCCAAAATAAACAGTTATTTGGTTCTGTCTTGCGCACACGTAAAAACACTTAGAGGTAAACTGTCCCCCCCTTTCCCACGGCATTCAGGTCGCAAAGTTGAAGTGATCAATTTGGATCCTGCAAACGATTCACTACCGTACACGTGCTCAATCAATTTGAGTGATCTGATTCGGTTGGATGAAGTGATGGATTATCTGGGATTGGGACCCAACGGTGGGCTGATCTATTGCATGGACTATCTGTACATCAATCGGGATTGGTTGACCACGAGATTGGCTCGTTTGAGACAAGAAAATCCGAAATGCTACTTGATTTTTGATTGTCCCGGGCAAGTAAGTGTAACGTTTTTTTCAAGCGGTTTGTGATGTTTCCATTGGTTTGATCAATCAAACTCAATGTCAAGCCAAGGTATAATTAGACTGGTGGCAGACTGTTCCCGCGCGCCAGCACACCCACACAGTAGATTTTCAGCCTCAAACAGGCACTCAGTAGATCTCACCCTTTGTGCACATCTGTACCGGAAGTGTTTTCCTACTAAAGTGAGAGGACAAAAGGCCGAAATCCAGGGCCGTGACCGGATTGGTGGACCGCTGGCAGTCCACTTAGGGGAGTTAACCAAAAACCCTGATTTCAAACCAAACGTGAGGAGATGTACGAACCACACCCTCTCGATTGTGGCAGTGGTCACCGTCTCGATTGGGCATCGAGGTGTATTGGGCACTTTGCACGTTTGACCCCTTTCAAAGGGTGTATGGTCCGATGAACTGGTTACCGGCTCCCAATGGATTGCGGTTTTCGCACATCGCTCCGCTACCTTGTGGGTTAGGCTTTTGGTAGTAGAAGGCTCCGGTTGTGGATTCCTCAAGAAAATTCACCTGCCTTGGCCTAGGCAACCTGGCAGTACTCAGCCCACAAGCCAGTCATGGAACGTTTTTCTTTTTTATAAAGATTATTCTACCATAATTCGTTTGGCACACAGTCTAGCCCCAGACGAGTGCGAAATACATAATAATAAATATACGTCGTTCATGGAATTACGCCCAGTCGACTAACAACAACAGAATTCAGTCCAGCTTCCTGTGTATCGAAAAGAAACTGGAGTAGTAGCAGCAATTTTCGTCCCCTCGTCTGCTGCCGCTGTACTTGCCGTCCACTTGTTTTGTTCAGCCGATGTGCCTTACGGTCACAATCATTCTCGCCTACGTGTCGAGCAGATCGATTTGTTTGTGATCGTTTCATCCGCAATGGAAATGACGTCATCAATGCTTGTGCACTGGTGGCTCTTGTTATCCTCCTCTCCGTTCACTCAGCGAGCGCGAAAATTATGAGGACACTTAATATTTGCAATCCAATTTCAAGAGCAGAACATCGCAACAGTCAGTATAGACTGACCGCCAAAGCCATTGTCTATCAGGATGTGTTACCGACATCTATCGACGTCTGATTAAGCAAAAAAATTTTATTCACAAACATGTCCAAATGAGGTGCAACCGGAATATGAGAACAATTGACTGTTACACCACTCGCCAGCGTTTTATAAGGTGCAGCGTGACTATTTTTCCACTCCTCGTTCAATTCGGCCTTCAATCCAAAAAAATGAAGGGCTCTACAGCAGTTGGTATTTCGATTCCGTTTTGCCAGCTTGCCGAATTGCCAACTGATGCAAACCAGTAAAACAATCTCTTCGTTTTCGAAACCGTTATAATGGGACTGTAACTTATCCGGCCGAACTAGATGAAACTTTTACTTGCCACTGGATATCACTTTCTCTCTCTCTCTTATCGATGCGTGCAGTAAAGGTGATTACTTTTGGTCCACTGTAATGGATTTTGAATTCGATGCTGGACCAGAGAACTCCTTCACTTTATTTGTTGCGCTGCAGCAAAGATTTTCGTTGATTCCGCTGCACCGTTCTAGTTGCACCTAATGATCCAAGCTCCACTTCACTATTTCTTTTTGGCACTGATTTGATGCCTAAGTCTTTCGGTCAAAACTTTCGGCTGTGTACTGGATTTCTAATGGACATGCGAAACCTTGCGATCCACTGGCAACGATGAACTGTTTTTTTTAACTCCGGTGAAGAAAACATCGTATGGTATGGTAATACACAACAACATTCTGAATGCATCACCTTTCACTCGGTTTGTGCAGAGTTACCGCTTCGTGCCATTGTCAAAGAAAGCAATAATAACAGGTCGACTGTGATGGCCAGCGATACTGTACTTAAAGCCAGCAAATACCTTTCCATTGGCTCGCATCAGACAGTCAATCATTCATAGGTACCTTGAAGATATCCTATGATGTCCCAAGAACGAACACACGCATCATGGGAGCGTTACGTCTCCATCGTATAGTCGTTTGCGCCATGTACTCCATCAGTCGAGCCCCATCTTGATGTGGCGTGCTGGCTTGGTTGCCGCCATGAATCTGTATGTTAGACAAGAATATCTCACAGTGGCAGGAATAGTCATGTCTGAAATGCGATTGCGTAGAGGTCAAACAAAGCTCAGTCTTACAAGGCCTACTGATTGGCCACTAACCACTTTGGCTCACCTCAGCGAATAAGCACGAAGAAGAGCAATTCACTCGTCGAGAAATGTCGTAACGAAGTAATTAGAACTTCATTGAACAGTTTCTACTCGTTCAAGCTGGACAGTGCGGACTTATGTCGCGTTCCGTTTGTCCCATTGAGTGCGCGGAGCCCTGAACTTATCCGGGACCGAGAACTAAAGCACCAGCCGACAAAACACAAAGCCGAAACCTGGAGGTCGTACACGATAGGTCTTTAGAAACTCCAACAGGAATGTTGCCATGCTGGTCACAGGCTTCGATGTGGGCTGTCGTGAAGTGGTTTACCCTACAGTCTAAGTCATCCATTTGAGGGATCTTCTTCGCTCTCAAAGTACCGGAAGTGCCTCCTGCTTCTGACACTCACGGTAAGTCACTCAGCTTTCTCACGAAAGACCCCAGATTGATAGTCGAGCAGCCAAAAAATTGATACTCACCTGTGCGGACGCGCGAAATGCCATAGTATTGACAATAGTTTGATTATTCGGATGTCTTCTTTCCCTGCTAACAACCATTCTCGAATGGTTGTGTTAGTATATTCAGTATGGACGTTAGTTTGTTTGCGATACGAGATCGTTCCTAACTCATACAATATGGCTCCATTACAATTGTGATTATTGTACTGTCCCTTGGGGTCCCGTACGCCAACCTCTTCGATTCACCGTGCGAAGTACTCCGTTATAACCACAATTTATTCATGTCCCCTAGGGTATATCAGAAATGTACCCATGAAATCAACGGAGCTTAAAGTCACCAAACCAGAACTAGCATTGCATAGGTGGCCTCAAACGTGTAATTTGGCGAGGAAATACTATTTTCATTGAATATTCCGTTCGCGGCAATAAAGAAACACTGTTGCAAACAAAGCCTGTTTTCGATAACTTCCTGCTCAGCTATATATATGATACAAAAGCAATAAAGGTAACCAAACACCTG